CAAAGCAATTATTCTGACTTAATTACTTCCTACATTTCTAAGATTGCCCCTTAATGTAAGTTATATGATCCAGTCATGTCATCAATACTGAAAAAAACCCCCTTCATTTCCTAATATTAATGTCAGAGCATCTCAAGGATTGCCATTCAATCTAAAAATAACAATACTGAGATTTTAATATCAAAGTGCCTTTAAAAAAATTATAAACTTAGTTGGTTCTTGTTGCAAAGTGCAGAGGCAGCAACACATCTGAATGATCACAGCTTAGAATCCAGAGAAGATGCTTAAATCTGAAACTAGTACAAGATCATGTGGATCCAGGTCAAGTAAAGAGGGAACATACACATTCCCAGAGGGGCATGCCAGCACCACCTGGGTTCTAATAAATCTTGAAATTATACTACAGTTGTAAGCCATTTTTGCAGTTACTCCCAGCAAACAGCAGGTCCTCTTGACCACTTTGCTGTCATAATGAAGAAATGCACTATAAATTGCCTCAAATCCCTTCCACAGTCAATTAGAACAGATTTTGTTATGAGTAGAAGTTGGGCAGGTAGGGCAGCACTGCATAAATCTCCCCTGAACACAGCTCCACATAAAGGCATTCAGGCTCCTAAAAAGGTTGCAGGTGCATTAGTGTACTGAGCTAAGAACAGGCTGGAAGCATTACTTTAAATGCCTTCAACTGAGAAGGCAAACAAAAAGAAAATGAAGACACTGCTGCAAAAGAGTCCCCCTGCAATCCTACCGGAGTGTTAGCAGCTGAGCTTCTGCTGTCAAGAGAAAGACTAAGCAAGAGGAAAGAAGAGGAAAGCAACATGATGGCACCAAACAGCAATGTAACAAAGAGGTGTTAGAACACAAGGAAGATCTCAAACAAAAAGGCAAAACGTGGGAGATCAGCATGCTAGATCATGAATTCCAGAAATGCAAGCAATATCCTAGAGCTGTAAGGCAAGGTTTTATTGCACATAAATCATCAGCAAGCCAGGTCAGTTTACAACCTGTCCAACTGCTAGGTAAAGGGAAACTGTGACTTTGATTTAAAAGTTAGTACTCACCCTACCTTGACTTGTCTTCGAAGAGTGTATAGAAGAAGGAAGCCGGAATGAAGGACAATGATGGTAAAGAGATTTAAAAAAAGCTAAGAACTGACATAGACACTGGAGTTGGTGATAACCATTTAATTTTCAATAGACTGGAAACAAGAAGGATTAGACACACTGAATTCATGATAAAAGACCGGTCACCATGCCAATAGAGATTTAGAAAAGTCATTTCTGACAGTTCCTGTCTTTCCAGTCAAGGGCTATCAACTGGGAGATGGAGGGAGAAGGAACACCCCAAAGCTACAAGTTTCACAAGTCAGGAAAAGCAAAACCAGACAAACAGCATAACATAAAGGTTAAGAGATTACATTAGATAAATCTGGATTAGAAACACAGTATGTATTTAGCAGTGGAGATGAAGTGTTCTCCAACAAACAATGCAGAATTTTTCTTTTCAAGTCGAAGTTAAATGTTTTTCCTAAAACATATGCTGTTTGAAACTGGGATTAATGTGGGGACACCAAGGACCATGCCAGGCAGGGGATCAGATGGTCCAAATTGTACTTTACAACTTCATTAATTTATCACTAACAAGGAAAGCAGGTATTTCTTTTTTTCAGTACAGTGGGTAAGGAAAGTTTTAGACAGAAGACAGTAATTCTTTGTAAATTCAAAGTCATATCTACTCTTAAGTTGACTCTGCTTTTGAAAATACAGAGGACTTATCCTCCAGCCTGAGTAAACTATTTCTCACAGGGCAGTTCTTTTTTCACCTCTTATTCTAAACCAACCGCATTGCTCTGAGAGCCTATTAGCAGTTTCTTACCCATTTTTCCCACTCCAAGTTGAGACTTGTGGCTCTTAAAGCCATCAAGAGCTTTTGCAAAACAACAGTTTTAGAACCCAAGCTTACAAACTTCCAATGCTATCACTGCCACCAAATTAGATACCTAATATTTTAAACAGTCCTAAACAAGAAAAATCAGAGACCTATATCAAATGAGACAAGAGCAGTAACCTGGTTAAACTCAGCAGGCAAATTTCCCTGCTGGCAGTCTCAAGGAGCAGAGACGCCAGACTGTTGTGATGTGTGCTGCTGGGGGCTAATGGACATTCTCTTTCTCAAGTACCTTTGAAATCTGTCAGTAATGGATCCTCCCCCATAGAAAAGACCCCAAACCACTTGACAGTGAACACTCACTAAATTTTTTTAGAGCTTTAAGTCATTAAGTGATTAATCACCACCCTAGAAAGCTCTTTAATCAACAAAATTGAGACCCTGCAATGCTGACAGCATTTTGCTCTGAGTAGTCTGTGGCACTCAAGCATGCTACCTTAGCATTGATGTGCAGAAGGTCTGAAGTGCAGCCAAGAAAAATGTACCACATTAAGAGAAAAAGGAAAAACATACTTAATGTACGTAACTGTAGAAAACGCTTCTGTCACCGATCCGTACCAAGTTCATTCTCACAGCATACGTTTGTTTTGCAAACACAAATTAGTTGGAGGCTATGAAGCAGATGCTGCCCTCAAAGTACCATGAGAATTTACACAGGCACACTAGTTCCGTTTTTTGGTTTTGTCTTTTTTCCAAGAATGCACAATGTTTACACTCAGAGACTTTTCTTTCTGTAAGTGTTCCCCTCTATTCAAACAAGGGAGTGCTTCTTCCAAGTACTGCTTTTTCTATGATGATAAAACCAAGGCATTGTACACAACTCATTTTGAGCATGGTCCCCATCATCCTTACCATTCAGAGATGCCCATTTTCCAGCTCCTTCAAAGCATCCAGAAGGCATCTTCTAAATCTTAGCACAAAGACTCTGCCCTACAGACACATCACTAATTATGCGGTTCCTGAAGCATTTAAAATTGTATTCAGCTTATTGTAAATTCTGTAACAGTGCAGCAAGACTTAAAACTGTCATTTAGACAGCTATATGGTAGACCAAAGATCAAACTCGGATGAAGACAGGGGCGTCATGCTATGAACTGAATGGACTACAATCAGAATCCCCCAAGAAAAGTAGCCTAGTACTATTGACTGGGAGAATCTCAGTAAGCCCACTGTATTCTCTGGCACAGGGAGCCGCTTCAAAATATTACTTCTAAGAGATGGGAATTGGAAAATAAAAATGAGGTGAAAACCACCAAATTACACTCAGGCCATCACCTACTCTACCTCCTTTGACTACAGCATGGATAGAAGAAATAGCTGGATGGTTCTGAGAACCTACAGAAGGAAAGAAAACTCAAAATTTAGCTAAATATTGACTGTGATGTCAATTCTCACACTTCAGTATGCATTAAGCACAAGTAAAAGCAAAAGAGAATGTTTGGTAATTACTAAAATTTGGTATCAAGATCAAGTAAACAGTCATGAAAACTGCTGGCTTACAGGATAACAGATCATAAGAAAAAATTTTACCTTTCCTAATTCGTTCTGAAGTTCAGCATCCTTAGATCTATTTGGTTTCAAGAGAAAACTAAGACTGCACTTTTGGGGGGCAGGGCGGGGGGAGGGGAAGTCCCAATTCCTCTAGCCTGCCTGTATTACACACTGAAACACTCATAATTCAGAGAAAGGTCAAAATTGATAGGAAACCAACAAAATTGGCTAAACATACCATAATTATGATTTGCAGAATTTACATTTTTTAAATCCTCTGTTGTCCTACAAACAAGCTTCCTCACAACCCTAAGTTGCACACATTATGAAGTCTCTGTTTTACAGGAGCCCATATTTAATTTTAATCTGTCCCAGGTGAACTTTAAGCATTCAGTATTTATAAAATTCATGGATTTGAGTGGCCAGTGTCTTTTTCAAAAGACACTCAGCATCTCTGACAAGTTTGTCAAGTTTTGAGGTTTAAAAGTAGACAAAGGAGCCTAACATGTCGAATACCTACAAGTACCCATTTTGTTTCCCATATTTGCAATTCCATCTCCACCCCCTAATTCCCATACACTTGCTGTCCTATTTTCTTATTTTGTCACTAATAAAAAATACACTGCTTAAGCAGACTAGACTTCAAATTATGTCACAGTATATTTTCAGTATTGGTATCCTGCCCTCTTTTTACCTGATCCTTACATAAACAGCCTCAGGCTCCCAGAAGCAGCTCTGCCCTGAATACTGTAATTCTGCTTAACTGGACATGGTGGGTGCAGACAGCAGACATTTCCTGAGCTAAGAAAGTCTGAAAGGGCTACTAGGTAAACTACAGCATTCTTCTAAAATACATAAACATGTTAGAGAAATAATAAACATTATTTCCATAGTACTATTGTTAATAGTATTCATAACAGTATTGGTACACTATTATAGTCTGCTAAAAAGAAGATACAAAACCTGATATAATCAGACAAAATTCAGTTTCTTTTCAGATACAGTATGCCTAATCCCATCCCACCCACCCCTAAAGAATTAAAGCATGCAACTCAAATGTAAATTTAGGAAGGTAAAGTATGAAAGTTATATTTAAATAACCAAGCAGGGAAAATTTGAGAAGTAGTCATATTTTTAATCTTTTTTAGCAAAGTATTACCACAAACAGTGGTAAATTCCTTTGCAAGCTCCTGACTTAATCTTCTCTGGATTGCAATGTATAAGCCCTCCTTTGTTGGCTGCAGTATTTCAACCCCTGCTGATGTGTCAAAAACTGTGAACATTCGGCAAAATACAAATATGCTGCATTGTATCACTTTTCCTTTTTTCTCTTTTCTAGAAGATGACAACAGATATGATAGAGAGCAATAACACCAAATCCAGTGCTCCCCTCCTGACCCAAAGATACCTGAGGATGGTGACCAAGGATGGACATAGCACATTCCAGATGGATGGTACCCAAGGAAAAGGTCTGGCATACCTCCGAGATGCATGGGGAATATTAATGGACATGCGCTGGAGATGGATGATGCTTGTCTTTTCTGCTTCTTTTGTCATTCATTGGCTAGTCTTTGCAGTGCTTTGGTATTTGCTGGCTGAGATGAATGGGGACCTGGAGCTGGACCATGATGCTCCACCTGACAACCACACTATATGTGTCAAGTACATCACCAGTTTTACAGCTGCTTTCTCCTTCTCACTGGAGACGCAACTCACAATTGGTTACGGCACTATGTTCCCAAGCGGGGACTGTCCCAGTGCTATTGCACTGCTTGCAATACAGATGGTCCTGGGGCTCATGCTGGAAGCCTTCATCACAGGTAATCCTTCATATTTAATCTTTAAACAGAATAGGTGTTAACAATTAGATTTAAGAAATGGAGCTATAAATAAATAGTGATCACATTGATATCTGAAAGAACAATTAAGTCAGTCACTACAAGTATGATGAGAGTTCAGCTATGTAGTAGTAGAATTTAAACACCTTTCATTAACAGAAGACATAAATCAGGTGATATCAAGATTTGGACTTGACAGTTCCACTATTCATTGGACAATACTTGTGGCAAATCCCCACTCACCACTCTCAATCACTTATTTCTTATACCACTATCTCTAAGTTTTTTCCATGGAATTACAATATTTAAAGTCAATTTGGTTTGATTTTAAGATTTACTTTTGTCTAGCTGAAGTATTCTTGTTGATCTTTAACTCCGTGTTTAAGTATTCCTCAGTACCTAATGTCATGAAAATTTTTACGTCACAGCTAGTTCGAGGTATTTTAAGGTATTTAAAATAATTTTCAGGTTTAAAGTATTTCAAAAGACTTCAAAAATACACAGGTTAGTTTACTGTGTGTTAAGAAAGAGCTTCTCCAGTGGTAGCACACCAAGATCAGGTACTATTACCAATTACAGCAAATCAGGGCAAGCTAACAGCTCTCCTTACTACAGCTACAGTTCACTCTCCAAATATTAGTAAGCAAACATAGTTTAGAAAGAGAAGCATTTTAGGAAAGCTATACTTTTTGAACAAAAATGGGTTAGTGTGATGCCAGCCTAGCAGTTTTCAAACATGCAGGCTGACACTAGAAAGACCATGTCCACCCAAACCTGCTTCTATTCCTTTGGACTGTTTCACAGAGCTCAGACTGCAGGGAATCAACCCCGGCATGGCGCTCATATTCAGTTTGCTCTTTTCTGTGATGCAGGTGCTTTCGTGGCAAAGATTGCCCGACCAAAGAATCGAGCGTTCTCCATCCACTTCACCCGCTCTGCTGTAGTGACACACACAGAGGGGAAGCCACACCTTATGTTCCAGGTGGCCAACACACGCTCCAGCCCACTGACTAGCGTCCAGATTTCTGCTATACTTTACCAAGAACAAGAGAACGGGCAGCTGCACCAAACTAGCATTGACTTCCACCTAGACAGCATTACTTCAGATGAGTGTCCCTTTTTCATCTTTCCACTGACCTACTACCATTCAATCACTCCATCTAGCCCCCTGGCTGCCCTCCTCCAAAGAGAATCTGCTCACCATTTTGAGCTGGTCGTCTTTCTGTCAGCTGTGCAGGAAAGCACAGGAGAAACATGTCAAAGGAGAACATCCTACCTCCCCTCAGAGATCATGTTGTACCATCGCTTCGCCTCCGTGCTAGCCCGCAATGCCAAAGGTGAGTATCAGATCAAGATGGAGAATTTTGACAAGACTATTCCTGAGCTCCCAGCTGCAGCTGACTCAAAGAGTCCAAAAAGGACTGACAAGGAGATCCGCATCAATGGACAGCACGCTGACAGCTTCCAGCTCTCCGAGACTGTCCTCGCAGAATAGAGAGACCAGACTTTGAACTTTGTGCTTTTTTAATTATTATTACATTAAACTTTCAGGTTCCATTTACAACCTTCCTTCCTTGCCATCTTCTAGTAACCCTTCTCTTGTACTCCCATCCTTTTGATTACAACATGACATGCAGAGTAAAGAGAACTGGTGTGCCCATGTAAGTCGAGGAGAGGCTGGATTAACCACCCAAGACAAAATCAGGTAGAAGAATCACAGATATAATTCTTGGAAATTAAGAGAGCTACCTGCTGAATTCACCAGACTATGATTAAAGCTGCACTGACCCTGAGAGACCTTCAAAACTCCCAAAGCTGACCAAAATCATAATTAACCAGCTTGTAACAAAATGGACAACAATACAAAAGAAAAATCTCAGTCAAAACCAATATGGAGTCATTCAGTAAATACATTAGTTCTGGGATAAGCAACTCTGTTCACCCAAGATCCTAATGTTTCTGTTCTCTTAACTCTTTGGGGATACAGAGTTATATCTGTTTTCAGATGGCTGAATTCACTCTTAGAAAGTACTGCCAATCTCTCATGGCAGTGAAAAGCACTCCTGCTGTGCTTATTAAGCAAAATTGTAAATAGTAACTGTAGTTCTCCATTCTGCCAAATAAGAGAACATCTCATTTCAAGACAGGTCTCTGAAGACACTATCAAAAAATCTTGATGTATATGACAAATGCTGCAGTGGAATTTTTTTCATATTTGGAAACACTGAATAAATTATTTAGCAGTGGAAAACAGACTATTCTAAATGAATTAATGTACTTTTTTTTTTTAAAGGATCATACATTCCACATGTTCTCACATTTGCGCTGCTTGTTTCAATTAGATCTGACCCAGAAGGATGCACTATATACATAAGAAATAGAACTGCATCCATTTATATTTTATGCTTTTTAACATCAGTATTTGCCTGTACACACAGCACAAAAATATTTAGAGACACTTGAATCAATTTTAAAATAAAAGATTAAAACAAACTATACATGAGACTTTTGTATTTAAGTGCCTCATAAACCTATTGCAATTAAGACACTGTTCTGAAGCTCCTAAATAATTTAAGCAGCTAAAGGATAAACAGAATGATGGACAATTATTTCCAAGCTCTCAACAAAAGCAGTGCCTATTATGTGTTCATACTTGAACAGTCAAGGATCAAAATAAAGTAAGTTATCTTTCAAAGGTAAAAGACTTTTCCCAGAAACCAAGATGCCAAAAATAGCAACTTTCATTGACAACAGCATAATACACTACCGAATACACTTCCTTTTACCTTCACTGAAGTGGTCAGCAGCAGGAAAAATGGTCTCAAGCTATCTAATGAGATACTGTTTAACTGAATTCTTCTCAAGCCCTAAAACTCTTAACTCAAGTGTGTTCACAACCCCAAAAAGGTCAGCAAAAGGCTACTTTGTTTTAGGGTCTGGGGAAATAGGAAGCAGTCCTATAGAAGCTTTTCACACAGGAAAGGGGAACAAGGCAAAAGGCCCACGTTTTCATTCCAATTCAGCTCTCATTCCAAAATTGTTCAAGTATTGCCTCCTCACATTCCAGACCTCAGACAGATTTGGTTTTATCACAGATACTCTCAAAATCTCTTATTAAAAATCTAATTTCATGTAAAAGCATTAATGAATGTTGTAGAGCTTGAAGAGGAACACACTATCAAGTTACATTGCCTTCATCCCTAGTTTTCTTAGATGCTGACCCATATCCAACCTAAAGAACCCTTTTCCATCCTCATATCAGTACCAATAATTTTTAATTGCAAAAGTGTTATTTCCACATTCTCTACCAATATAAGACATTGAGAAGAGTCCTACAAATTAAGAACCAGTGCAAGACCAGTAGAACAGATTCCTGTGTAAAGTGTGAAATAACCATTTAGGAAAAAAGAGTAGCATTCTGTGTGAGGTATTGTTTTTCCCATATATCACATGCTCCAGTCTCAGACAAACCACATGTTCTAAACTTCAGATGCATAATCCCAACAGGATTGTACTATAATCTCAATGTTTAGAGCCAAAGCTATAAAAAGCTATTTTTTATTTCATTTAACATCTAATCAAAGTATGGGCTGCCTCATTTGGTTTCTAAATGACTGATACTTTTAAGTTCTCCTGGTTTTTAAATTATTTTCTATTTATAATTTGGTTTAAAAGGGGGTACAACAGCAAGTATAAAGGAAAAAACCATGTTTAGTATACACTAAACGCTATCTTCAAATACTACATTTTGGAATGCAAAGCTAAAGAATGCTACAGAAGTAAATTAGACAAACACAAATGTGTAGTTACTTCAGAACAGTTGCAGAACAAGAGGTAGACAAAACAGCCCTATTGCTTTTACAGTTCCAGAGAACTGGTGAACCATGGATGTCTGATAAACTATTGGAAGTATGCCATGGCCCAAATTGGAATACAAGCCTAGAAAAATTGCTGATGGGCTCCGATACAACAAAATTGCACTCTACTCTTTGACTAACATTGCAAGAGCAAGCTGGTAATGAACCTTCTTTAGATGCACTTCTTGCTAGAGAGGTAGGGAAGAAAAACAAGCCAGAGGAAGGGAATGTGCAATTCAGAGAAATTCAACATCCTTTTTATATTCACTTGAACACCCTTTTTATATTCAAGTCTTCTTAACCTAACCAAAAAATGCATATTAAACAGAACTCAAATCAGGTTCCAGAACTGACTTACTGAATGTCTTGTTTACTACATTACAAGTTATTTACTACCACTGTGTAATTGCTGGTAACTAATCAAATCCCTTCAGCTACTAAGCTGGTATTAGTCAAGAGGCTGCACAGAAAATTAAGCAGCTTTTGTGCAGTTCTAAAAGACAGCCATGATCAAGAAAACAACTTGTTCATTTTCTTTACTAATGGCTTCAGCCTTGCAGAAGCAATGTGGGTTCTCAATGAAGTCTGTCAGAACTGTGACAATCTGCAACAAAAATTCACAAATACTTTGTGCATCTTCAATTTGCATGCTGAAACTAGAAACATTATGTTGAGAATCAGTCAAATGTGAACTTGCAAACTGTTGTGAGCACTGAAAAAGCAATCATTAATTTTTAAGAACAGTATATTGATTATATTTGAGAAGTAATTCTTTGTTGAAGGTCTATTACTGCTTTAATCTCATGACTTTTAATTGACAGGTTCTTGCATTGTCATCCATTATGAATGCCCAGAAGACTTTAATATTTGATCTCTTATTAATTCTGTAATGTGATCACCCAGAACAAAGAACATGAAAAAGCTGGCAACTCAGTAAATTACATAATTTGAAGCTCATCCAAGGCCCTATGAAAGAGCAATGAAAAACTGAGGCACAATAAAGTTAAGAGAATAAAAACCTAAACTAAGGAGTTTAACTAGGGTAACAGAAACCAATATCTGCATCAGCTAAAACATGTTAGCCTGAACTGTAAGCTGCATGTCAGTTCTCCCCTTGCTCTTTCTGCTTCGACTGCTTTGTGTGGTATACTAGTGGTTGGTATTAATGTGGGACTTCTTTTGGCACATCCGTATCCCTATCTCACACTCAAAAAGGAAAGCCTTTACGTAACAGTAACTATCTGTTGATTAATCAAGGTTTGAGTTAAAACAGACCAACACCTTCTGTTAACTTTTTTTGTGGTCTCCACCTCATTTCTCTTTGAATGTAAAGAGGAAAGAAATAGTCCTCTCATTTACTGGGACATTAATCTCATTAGAGATCTCATTAGCAATATGCAAACATAAATAACTATTGTTAAACAAAATTTTTATATTAAAACTTCAGAAAGATTGCAGGTCTCTCGCCTCTATCATACTGTGCTACAGAGCTTTTAGCCAAGTAAGATCAAACTAGAAGAGAAATAGAACAAGAGACTTAAGAGGAGGAATCAGGTACTACAGAAAGGTTCATGATTTGAGAATAAGCACACCATCCCTCACAATGAACCAGGACTTCCAACAAAGGACAAAGGGACACCATCTTCTCTAGAGAATGGTTCACAGAAGATGCATTCCAAAGTCCTGATCACTAGTAGTTGCTACAAACAAGACATGCTCCATACTAGCTGAAGCACTAACCCCCACATTCAGGCAGAAGTCAGCTTCAGTAAGGACATCGTGCATACTGTAAATTCTTCTCAATTTCAACTGAGAGAGATACCTCATCCTAAACTGACATGCAATATTTTTATCACAGTCCTGATAAGAAATGTGGTACATTCTATAGTGTGGATCTGGAAGTGTTTTAATTTTATCACAAAAAGAGGAAGGGGCTAAAAAAATTGAATCAACTGTGGTAGATATTGCTTTTGCATCCATTTGTCTTTTGTAAAAATGGAGTCCAGAAATATCAGTAGTACTTTTTTTTTCCCCCCTATTTTCATTTTTTTTTTCCCCCAAGAGGTCTCTGAATATAAAGACACAGTGGAAGTCCAAAGTTTCACTACTGGCACATAAAGATGGACAATCTCAGACCAATCCCAAGTTATTTTTAGAATTATTTTTACTAGTACAAAACCTCTCACTAAGCACAGCTGTGGTACATGCATGTGGAAACATGCCACAGAGAAAGAGCAAGCTCCTACCAGAGACCAATCAATGCATGATTCCAGAAAGCAAAAAACCACTGCAGTTACCATAGAACCAACGGATAGAGGGGAAGTTCCTTGAATGTTCTTACCACTCTCAGAATACAGATTTTAGCTAAATAGAGGTGTTCCATCTCCAAGATGACAACCCACTCCAAGTTCAGCTG